GGCTACAACTGTAGCTGCCTCCACCAGTGTGTGAATGTGAGAGTGAATGAATAATGGAATTGTAAAGCGCTTTGAGGGGTCCTGAAAAGCGCTATATAAATGCAATCCATTATTATTATTATTAATTTAAACTCACTGAAAAAAACTTGATTAAAGCTAAACTGCATTTTTTATTGTCCAACAAACATTTTGGAAAACATTAATTCAGGTGCTTTAGCAACACGTGGATATCAGACTGTTAACACGAGCCCCGTGTTTTTCCTTCTTATCGATTCTACATATTTAATGTGTGTGGAAAGCTCAGGCTCTTCTGTAAATGATGTCAGTCTGAATTGGGAGATGTTTTGAGGAGGGTTTGACTGCTCAGCACATTTTCTGGGTGATGTTTGCTCTTCTATAAATGATCAGCATAAAATATGAAACATGTAAAAGAACAAACTGACACTTTTTAGTATTAATGGGCCCCAAACACACGCATGAAGTTTACCCACCAACTGTAAAAGTATGTGATGCCTCAGTTTTTCAACTTGAAGAAAAGTTGGACCAACTTGACCTGATAGAAGTAAAAAGTGGAAACAAGATAGAAGTTTGAATTTCTTTAAAAAAAAGTTTTGTCAACTTAACATTTTGAACCGTGTGCACGTTGTGTTAGCTAAAGCGTTTTTAATAACTTTATTACATTTTTTAAAAAGTTGTGCAACTCTTTACAGAACTTGTAGAGCCTCATTGAGCCCCAGTGAGGCTCTATAAAGTCTGACAACTGCAATGACACACTTTCATATTCTGCAGCGCTCTCATGTAGCTCACAGGCTGCTGGGATGTGATTGGTTGTGCTTTTACATGCTAACTTTATTTATAAAAGTTGTGGTAAAAAAACATTTTTACAACTTGTTTTTCACGACACAGTAATGGTTTATGGTGTTAGGGCCACAGATACTTCCTGGGAAATTCCTTTGCTTCCAGACATCACCCTCACACTCAGCAAAGTTGCCACACTGACATAAATATTTAGTTTTTAATGTACACTCGTAGCATGCCTATGTTTAGTCTGCTGCCATAGTCCACTTCTTATCTGCACTGTAAGAAATACCTGAATCTCATTTTTCTTCAGTCGAGTCAGACTTTTGTGTTTTCAAATAAATAACGCAGACATTGTCATGCAGTTTGGGCCATGCTGCTCGCTGCTGCATTTCAAGTATTTTAGTAAAAAATTCAGGGGGAAGGGAAAAAGTCTGCACACCATTTAGCTCCAGTTTAGTAAGTGGAGTCCCAAAACAGGCTTTTGATACATGCCTGGTGACGATTTCATGATATAATTTTCCTGTAATTTAGGAATGGATCTGCTCACACTTCCTCTTTTTCTGCATTTAAATATAAACATGCAATATTAAAACAGCGGGCAGTAGCTCACCTTGTGATTGGAAGTACGAGTATTTTAATAAAGGAAAACCTTTATCATTCATTTGTCAACACACGTGACATCATATCAAACTGACTGAAAGTCACCTGAGCTGTGAGGTTTAACATTAGCAGAACATCAAAAAGAATTACGACATTGTGATGATGAAAAATTGTTTTGTTTGCATGTTAAGTAAATAACTTATACCCTATTTTTCCTTTGTGTACTGCCATTACCACCAGGCCCTTTGAACAGTTGGT